TGCTGAAGCGTGGGGAGGATGTATGCGGAGCCCGCTGGGTACACCCGTCCAATGGCTTGTGACACGCCTGGAGATGCAGCACTGGCGGGCAGGGGGGTGTCGCTGGACGGTGGTGAATTGCACTTCGTTGACATCCATGCTTCCGGGCATTCCTGGCCAGGCCCTCTGCTCTGTCCCTGCCCTCCCCCAGTTCCAAGGACAACTTCGGGGCCCCCAGGAAACACACCATTGGTGTTTGGGTCCCATGCTGGCCTGAAAATCTGTCCGGACACTGCCGGGGCCAGCCCAGGAGTGGAGGGTGAAGTTCCTCTTCCTGAGCAGGGATCAGGTCCAGCTTGCAACTTCCTGGGGCTAAACCAGAAGGGACTGGCAGACGATTTTCTGAAGAGCAGTGGGTGTCACAGGCTTGCCCAGAGCCTGGTGGTAGCTTATGGCGAGGGGCTTTGAGTGTTTCCAGCTGGGCCAGTGCATGAGGTCCAGTCCAGGGAAGTGTCACAAACAGAACATGAAGTTCACCAAGAAGCCAAAAGGACAGTGGAGGGGTGGCCCTGCGTGTGGTGCTGGAAGGCTGCTTTCTTGCGCTTCAGAGGAACTAGCAGAAGAGACGCCTCCTCCTCGCTGCCAGACTGTCTCTGCGCACCGTAGAGTGCTTTCCCTAGAAGTCACCCCCGGGGACTAGTGCTAGGGACACGGGTGGCAGGTCCTGTGTTTGCAGTGACAGAAGCTGCCGGTTGGGAGCACAGGCAACTCTTCTGGAGTTGCGGTAACTATCCCAAGGTAGAGGCCACGTGTGACATGTACACTTGTCTTACCACATGCTAGTTCACTACAGTGCACTAGGTTTTCTCTCAAAGCGTGCAGGCCTGAGCTGCTGCAATTCTGCCAACAAAAGGGACAGGTTAATAAGGAAATGAGGGAATTTGGGAACGAGAACTGAAAAGGACAGAAAGTGACCCTGGCATTGGCTATATGAGAAAAGTGAATTGAAGAATTGGATCACTATCCATGTGATTCATTCAATAAATTCGTCTCATTTGAAATAATTTAAGAAAAAGGATGCTTTTATACTAAATTATCTGGATAATTGCTTCAAATCCCTTTCATTTTAAAAAAATGGCTGCACCTTATCTTCTTCAGTTTTAATTAGTGTCTTGAAAGTGCATATAAATGACATTCTTCAATTTTAAAAACAAAACCCAAACACTCTCCAGCTGTCGTGATAGATTCAGGTCTGTAAAAGTCTATGGAAGTCCTTGATTGAAATTTTTGAAAAGTACAACTCATCATGCAATTAATGATGCAAACAGGAGAGCAGGGACAATATTCAGCTGCATTCTTCTGGGACAAATAAACATTCTGATCATATCTGTGATGCCATCCAGAAGTCTTTACTCTTGGGGAAGAATATCATTTTGATACATCAAAATTACCACAGAAAAGTCCCACCAACTCAAGACCCACCATGTTGTAAGACTCACTTCTCAAAAGTAAACTGCTAGGGGGCCGGCCCGTGGCTCACTCGGGAGAGTGCGGTGCTGATAACACCAAGGCCCCGGGTTTGGATCCCATATAGGGATGGCCGGTTTGCTCACTGGCTGAGCGTGGTGCTGACAACACCAAGCCAAGGGTTGAGATCCCCTTACCGGCCATCTTTAAAAAAAAAGTAAACTGCTAGCTTCCCCAGTCCTTTGTAAATAGTCAGCAGAGTCAGATTTTTTTACCCAAGATTTCCAAAATGTCATGAAAACTTCAAATTATGCTCTATGATAATTCAATTAAAATGGCCAAGTAATATTTCTGCTCTTTCTCTGTAATAAGCCTCTAAAATACTGGAGATGTACAGATATATGATAAGAGCTTTGTAAGAACTGTCTAACATTATACACAATAATTTATTGTGTAATTGTTAGTTACGAAAAAACCCCAATTTTGTGTTAAAGGTACACGTTCTAGTTCTGTTAAGTTAGCAGGGAGTACAAGCCATCAACATAACCCGTGTTTTACACTGATCTTTTGATGGGACTGGCGTGTGGCAGACTTTGCCCGTCTTCTGTGATGGTTTGGATAATTTGGTTTTCATATGGACACCAAGTTTGGGTTATTCAGAGAATCATTTAAATAATTAAAAAACTTCTCCATTCTATTTGTAAACTAGGTAATAACTTACATCTTCCACACATCATTTCGGCCATCAGTCTCACAGAAAGAACAAGGGAGAGGGGACATGAATTTGTCCTTGTTAGTCACTTGCTAAACTACTGTCTGGTCTTGCTATTTAAACGCACAAGGTCCCTCTCTACCACCTGGATCCTTTGTTCTTTCCTTGAAAGAATGAGGAAGGAAAGAAATGAAATCATTTGGACCCGGTGGTGGGATCCCTTTTCTGGCTATTGCTATGAGAGGGCTGTGTAGCTGGAGATCGTGGTCTGCAATGGGCTGAAGTGGGTCGAGCCGTCAGCTGCTCTGACCTGAGCCTTCCAATGTGTATGCCACCTGGTTACAACGGGGCATCATGAGGCCAGATGAGGTTCAAGGTGTTCTGAGTTCCCTGGCAGAAAATTTTCACTAAGGGCTGGCCTGTGGCTCACTCGGGAGAGTGTGGTGCTGATAACACCAAGGCCACGGGTTCGGATCCTATATAGGGATGGCCGGTTGGCTCACTGGTTGAGCACGGTGCTGACAACACCAAGTCAAGGGTTAAGATCCCCTTATCGGTCATCTTTTAAAAAAAAAAAAAAGAAAATTTTCACTAAGAGGAGACTACCTTATGGGCAGAGGTGTATCTGCATAAGTGAGAACTAAATTTACTGGCTACAAAGTCACTTGCGTTGCTGTAGGTTTGTCCATATTCCTCAAGTTAGGGAGTGAGGTGGTGTGGGAGGTCGAGGATGATAGAGGGATGGGGGTGGGGCCCTAGGGAGAGTTGGAGAACAGGACACATGCTGGGGCTCAGTGAAGGCAAGTGTGCCCTTGAGACACAGAGAATCAGAGCTAGAGTGGACTGGCTCGAGGTCCAGAGTCCCATTGGCCAGTTCTGGAGGAGACATAAAAGGCTTCACTTTACTAGTGGAATTAAAAGTGGTAAAGCCCTCATGAAAAGCAGTTTCTGACCACAGCTGTTCCTAAAATATTCTCAAGTATCACAGCAAATTTAACAACCTAAAGGAAATATTTGACATTATTTGACACATAGTAGGCACTCAATAAATACTGGCTTAATGTTACTTATCTCTTGGAAATGACTTGACCAACATTGTATTTATACATTAAAAAGTTCTTTGAAAAGTTAAAACAAAAAACTCTTTGAGTGGCTCTTCAAATATGTTTAGGTAACTCAGACATTAAATTCCAAAATATAATTTTGATTACAAATGCATATGTAAATGAACTGCATTAACACGTTGAATTGAGTTTCCAAAGGAAACTGTTGGAAACCTCCTCTACAGAGAGTCATCATTAAAAGTTATCATTCCTCTGGTGATTGTGGATCAGGGGCACTTTATTTGGATTCATGAACTCCTGATATCACATGCAACATTAAGAGGGTTGATTTTTACGTGCAGCTTTTCTGGAGAAAGGAGCCACAACTTTCATCAAATTATCAAAGACTTTGTGAGCCAAAAAGAAAAGGTTAAGAATCACTGCTGCTGCTGAATGAGACCCCAGCAGACACTTGGTTTGTTTGATTCTCATCTCCTTTGGACTTTCAGGCCTAGCAGGAATATCAGAACTCCCCAAACTTAAATTATTCTAATACTTGGTAACAACTCTTCGGAGTCATGTTATTTATTTATTTATTTACAAAGGAACTGTATAAAAATAGATACTTGGGAAGATCTTAAATGTACACATATATAGTGTGCAAGTACGTACCTTTTCTTAAGCACTTCCTCTCACTTGGCTCTGTCTCCAGTTAGCTTTCTTTTCCTGGCACTTGGGATCTATTCCAGGTAGCCTCAACGACAGATTCCCCCATCAGGGAAAAGCAACCATGTGTGAAAAAGGTTTTAAATGAAAGAGAAACCACAAATGACAAGTTCTGGGGTTTACTGAAAAAAATTAAAGGCTGCTTTTCTTGACTGTTTGAGAAATCCTCTAAGGCCCTGGGTGCCCTTTCTAATAGAAAGACCTGCGTTCTTATGGGAACTTCAATGCAGCGAAGCCTGCTCTTCCCTAACCTTGGAAGGTTCCTGGGACGCCCATGACACAGTCTCAGGAGGAGACCATCGTCAGCAAGCAGTGACCCTGCTGGCATTGGGTTCCACAGAGAATCACCTAGAAAATGGACCCCACAAGGCGATGGAAGGGACCAGCCTTGTCCTCATCTCCTTTCACAGAGCCTACAAGAGAATCCCTGTGCCCTAGAGTTGCTCAGAAACCCCTGACTCACCAGGAAACACCCTTCAGGGGAAGAGGCTTTAAACCTGAGAAGACCCACACTCTGGCCTCAGGTTTGAGGTGCAGTGAACCCCTAAGATATGGACAAAATGACATGTGCATTCTTCTGGGAACACAGAGGCTCTGTGACTTTGAACAGATTCTGAAACGGGTCTGTGAGACCTGACTTCCCCAAACATCAGGGACCATCATGATACGAGTATCCACAGTCCTCTGGCAGGGAGAGACTGCTTGGGCATGCCTTTTCAGAAAACCTACTTCATTTTCTTACCTTCTCTTAAGATGTTGCAGGAAAATCTATTTAGAAGGCCTGATAAAACGGAAATTGTCACAAACAAAATTTGTCCTGCAACCTTTTTATTTTTTTTTAATTCCATGTAAAAATAAATACTTCTTAACCAAAGTTAACTGTAGAAAATATGCCAATTAAAAAAAAAAAAAACGACACACATACAAACAGGGTTCTTTTAGTCACCCTGGTTTCAAAGTCATGATGTGAAGGAAAAGTGAACTTCCTATTTCAGCCACAAATTGTGGGAATCAGGAGGAGCACAGGAAAAACTGTCCTAAATCTTTTCAGTGAGGAAATACCAGGCATCAAATAGATTTTTAGAATATTTTAATGTCCATTTCTTCAGTGAACGCATTTTTAAATTATTAGAAGTAACAATTTAGAAAGAGCAGGACGACGGAAAGATGGAAAATGCAAATAGCTGGTTCTTGCTCATTTAATTCCAGGCGCTAGGCATGATATAATTTTCAAAACAACCAATCAACAAATGCTTACCTCCAAAATCTAGAAATTCAACTGCAGACGTGTCTTTGAAAACTACAAATGATTATGGCCTTGGTGGTGGGAAGCACGTGGCCTTTGGCTCTGTGTGTCAGGTACAAATATGCAGGTGTCGTCCTCAGGAGGGATGTTGGTGGTGACAGTCGGGTGCAGATGTGTCACCATCTGTGGGACTCTCGAGCTATTGAAGGGTTTCAAAGCCGACGCGCTACACTGGTCTGTACTAGATAGAATTACGTGTGCTTGTTTATCATATATATATATAATTTGATCTGAGCTGGAGATAAGAAAATAGCAGATGCAACTTGAAGCAACTATTTACACACATTCAATTCTGAAGTATTGCTTCCTGCCCTAAGTTCCTAGGAGGTGCTGCCACCCTGAGGAACGCGTCCCTCCCACTGATGACTCTCGAGCCTGCTGCTTAGAAACCTGTCTGTCCCCAGCAAGCATTTATTCAACGCCAACAGGTTGGGCCACACAGTGGTTCTGCATTGAGGTGCGCTTCAAGGCAGGGGCTGGGAAGGGCCCCAGGGGCCTCGTGGTCCAGATAGGACATCTGGACTGGTTATCTAGGAAGGCTCAGGATGTTTTTAAAGATGGTTTCACACTCTGGGTGAGCTCCCTTCCTCAGAGGCTCCTGTCTGCCCAGCACTAGCCCAAGCCCCCGAGGTAAAGGACTTCTCCCTTGGGTGTGCAGCTCTGTGGGCTCCCAGGGTGAGGAACGCACACACCTCTGTTGTGGGGGAAGGAGAGCTTCTGGTAGGGCAGAAGTGTGTGCGAGATGAACTTCGTGGAGCACATCTGGAGCGAGACAGCAAAGACATCACAACCACTCGGCCCCGCGGAGCTACACAGCCTGCAGGCAGAGGACAGGAGGACGCTTGGATGCACACTTTAATACTGACGGGAAAGAAACCCTAACATGTCCACACCCCCTAAGTGCAAGGAAAGCATCAGGTAGTGTTTTTTAAGGAAAAAAAATCTGCGGTATTTTATAAGAATACATTCTTCAGAAGCAAGAGGTATTGGCACAACCAGCCTTTCTTAGGTATTGGAAGACTGACAAACTGACAGTAACACCTGAAGTACAATCTTACAGCTACTGAGAATGTTCTTGCCCCTACCCCGAGACCAGCTGCACACGGGTAGCCATCCCAGGCACGTCCCCTGGACAGGTGGCTGATCAGAATGGATGTTTCTTGCACCAAAACGCAGGCTCGGCACGTCTTTGGGGAGAAGTGACAAGGGACTTAATGGGGATGGGAACATTACACAGTGAGATTTACCAGTGGAAGGAAGACGTGTGGGGCATGCAGTGAAGACCTTCAACAGACAAGAAGCCTGCCTCGCCGATCGTCGCCTGAGAAAATGACTGCGGCTGTGACCGGGCAACTTTCGCCTGAGCTCAATTTGATGTGAACTTCAGACTTGATGCGGTAAAACATCATCACAAACAGGATTAGTGACCACGAGGACAGAGCACTTTTCCTTAGGTTTCCTACACCTCCCCCAGCTCCATACCTCATTCACATGCAGATGATTCTGTCTCTAAATACAGTGTAAGGATTCTGCCTCAAGAGGCTGGAATTAGTTGACAAGATTCAATCCCGCCACAAATAGGCCTTCTGCAGTCCAAGAGTGGGAAGGATGGAGAAACTTCTGGAATTTGTGGAAGCCGAGACAGCACTGGCAATGCCTGCCCAGACCTGCTTGGTGCATGGCCGGAATTCCATCCAGATCCACTCAGGCAGGAGCAGCTGGAGAGCTTCCCCGACCTCCAAAGTGCACTGGACATGGCTCAGGGCCCTTGTGGGGGGAGTGGCCCCAGGTGGCCGAAACACTGAGGGACATCTTGTCATCGTTCTGGGAACCACCCCCCATAGCCTATTTCCCTCCACTAGAATGACCCAGCACCCCCTCCCTGAAATGCACACATCTCCTGATAAATAAATAAATAAATAAATGCGACCCTCAGACGTTTATTTGGCATTTCCCCCTCAGACGGGTTAGCTTCCAAGACAAACACCTTCGCTCCAGCATGGAAGAACTCCTAGGCAGAGGGTCAGGGTGAAAAACGGCTTTGAGAGACCTGAGGCTGGGTTCCCAAGCTTTGTGCGCAGGGGGCATTTGCGATCTGGGCCTGCACATGAAGGAGCCCCTGATACCACTCACTGTCAGGGGCACAGTCCCTGCCAGCCTCTGAGGGCTGGACTGCTTGGGACCATGCGGGTGAGCCAGGGCCTGCGGGGCAGAGCGCTCTTCCCACGCGCTGCTGGCATGTCCCCTCTGGGTGAATTACTGGCACTTGATGTCAGGTCGATAAATGCAAGTGTGCGTGCATGTCTGTGCTTACAGAGAGAGGTCAGGGAACTGGGAAACACTATGATGTATGCAGAAAAAATAAATTCAAAAACATTGTATTGGCCAAAAAAAAAGTGTCCTGTGAGAAAAAGCAATAAAAATGACATCTTAACCATAGCTTTTGTTTTAAAATTCAGACAATATGCAAAGCCATGACTTCCACCAGCGGCCTCAGTCCCTAGACTCGAGGCCAAGGCCAAGGCCAAGCCTTGAAGGCACTTGCTCTCCTCAATGTGGCTGGACTGATCACCCCAAGAAGGAAGCAAAGGAAAGAAGAAACAGGTGGAAATGAACCTGAATGACTGTGATAACACAGAAGTTGGGGCTGAAATGACCACATAACACCACGTCCAGGGACAGAAACAGCGGCACCTGAGAAAGCCTGATGGGCGCGCAGAGCACCGGGGCAGCCTGTGCTGCCTGCTCTCAAACGCTGAGCTTGGTGAGCTCGTCAGCTTCTTCCATTCCCAGCTCTTCACAGTCATTTTTCTCTATGGCTTTGCCAATTCGACACCTTTCTTCAGCTTTGCCGGGCTCTTTCCAGGCTCTCTTCGAGGATGGGTGGGCGTCCTTGGCCTGCGTGTTGTTATCAGAGACCAGAGACGTCTTGTCCGAATACTGGACAGAAGGCACCAGGTTGGCAATCTCGTCTGTGGGAGACCGGCCGATGCTGCCATCCACCTGCACGCGGATGTCTGGGGAGATGGACAGCTGGTGCTGTGGCACGACCCCATTGTCCGTGCACTTGGGGTAAAGGTAGGTCTTCATCTGACCTTTGCCCTTGACATTCACTGTCCCTCGGTAGTCAAAGTCGTAGCCCATCTTGCTCAGGACGCGGTAGCTCTCTTCACTCACCTGGATGCGGCACTCGACGCCAGTGGTGTCCATCCTGCTGGCAATGTTGACGGTGTCCCCCCAGATGTCATATAGCAGCTTGGTGGTGCCGATGACGCCGGCTGTGAGTGGCCCGTGGTTGAAGCCAACTCTGAGCTTGAAGTTGAACCACAGCATGTTGTTGTTGAAGTCATCCACCACGCGCATCATCTCCTTGGCGAACTCGAACAGGATCTGCAGGTGCCCCTGTGGGTGGCTGCCATCCTGGCACTGGGTGGTGTTCAGCCCCGACGCCGCCATGTACGTGGCCCCAATGGTCTTGATCTTCTCAATGCTGCTATAGTCCGGCTTGCTCAGGAGCTCGTCAAAGTCCCCAATCAGCTCGTTGAGGACCCGGTAACACTCCTTGCCCCCTTCGTAGTTCTCCTCGTAGAACTCGCTGAAGTTGACAATGCTGGCAAAGATCACTCCTCCGCTGTCGTGGTTCTTGGAGTAGGTCTGGGATACCTTCAGCTGCTCAGCCACGTGGTAGGGGATGATGTTCCGCAGCAGCCAGTCGGCTTGGTCCCGCATGCTCTGGATCTTGGTGCGGTGGAGATCTGCCTCCACGTCGCCATGATAGTGGAGGCGGTAGCTGACCTCGAACTCCCGGTTCAGGAACCAGACCAGCAAAAGCAGGAGGAAGAAGACGAGGATCACCTCCTGGCCAATGAGGCTGGCCAGCCTCCTGCTGTCCTGCGGCAGTGAGCTATTGCAAGGACTCCGCTGGGAGCTGGAGAGCAAAAAGATGAGAAAGGACACGCCGCCTCAGTGTATCTTTTAAGGACAAGGTTACTACTCAGCACTCCCAAGTTCCGAACAGCCTGGCTAGCCAGCAGGCAACCCACAGCTCTGTGGAGTCTAAACCTTCAATAACTTAAGCAGCCTGTTTCTGTTTATTTGGCTGGCAGAAGAGATGGAGAGATAAAGACTGACTTTTGTAATGGATTTCTTTAACATGTACTTTGTAATTGCTTCCCCCCTCCCAGAAGTCTTTAGCTTCTTTTAAACATTTTTTCCCTGTTTTATTTTGAAAAATCTTAACCTTACAGAAAAGTTAAAAGACCAGTAAAACAAACACTCATAATCCTATCCCCAGATTCAACAATTGTTAATATTTTGCTGCTTTGCCTTTTCTCTCTCAGCACGCGCGCGCGCACACACACACACACACACACACACTTTCTGTGGAATATTTTGAAAGTAAGTTGCTGACACCATGATGCTTCAGTCCTAACATTTCACTACATGACTCCTAAGAATGAGGACATTTCCCTAGGTAATGTAATCATAATATTATCAGACCCAAGAAATTTAACATTCTCTGATATATTTGCTTCTCAAATTTCTAATCCAATGGACTTAGACTTATAATTTTACAAAGAACTTTTATAAGTTCGCTACTCTGTGGGCTGGCTGATTAGCTCAGTTTGTTAGAACATGGTGTTATACCACCAAAGTCGAGGGTTCAGATCCCTGTACTGGCCAGCCGCTCAAAAAATGTAAAATAAAGTAAATTCTCTACTCATATAAAGTTTTGATAAAATACCGTTTCCTCCCACTCTGCATTAGTTCTGTTTCACCAAAGTTGTTTAAGACAACGTTGTTTTAAAAATATATATACAATGTGCATTTTTAAGAGTAATACAGGTTGAGTACCCGCCTCCGAAACGCTTGGGACTAGAAGTGTTTCAGATTTTGGATTTTTTCAGATTTTGGAATATTTGCATTATACTCACCAGTACAGCATCCCTAATCTGAAAATCCAAATTCTGAAATGCTCCAACGAACATTTGCTTTGAGTGTCATGTTAGCACTCAAAAAGTTTCAGATTTTGGAGGATTTTAGATTTTGGATTTTCGGATTAAGTATGCTCAACCTGTACACACATTGTACTCAAACAGTATAAACAATGGGAAATAAGTACCTTTCCTTTAAGGTAACCAATGCTATAGTTTCTTCTAGTTGCATTGTATTCCAATATATGGACATACTGTAATTTAACCAGAGTCCTCCTGACAGACACTGAGCATGTCCATCTTTTACTACTACAATGTTGCATTGAATATTTCTCCACCTCTATCTTTATGCACATGGAATTGTCATTTTAAATACAGTCATGCACCACATAATGACATTTTGGTCAACAAGGGACCGCATACATAACTGTGGTCAGAACAACAGGCTATACCATACAGCTACACCATCCGGGGATGTGTAAGTGCACTCTGTGATGTTCACATCACCATGAAATCGCTAACGATGCATTTCTCAGAACGTATCCCTGTTATTAAGTGACACATGACTGTATCACATATTTAGAATGTCTTTAGAAATTTCCAAATGGCCCTTCTAAGAGGCCAAACCAATTTCCGTTCCCTCCGATACTTTGGGTAGGGCTCGTCTCCACCTTGATGGTCCTGACGGGAGACACTGTGGTCAGAGAACTGAAGATGAGCAGTAACTAGCATGATCTCTTTTAAAGCTTGTGTTTTAAATACAAGTTTTTCCCATTTAAAAATACTACATACTTACAGAAAATTAGGGAAATTAGGGAAAAACTAGAAAGAAAAAAATGATTCGGCATTGTCCTATCCTGAGGCAATCACTGTTAACATTTGTTGAATTTCCTTCTAGTCTTTTTCTATTTTTGCATAGCACTGTGATTATTCTGTTCATAAATATTTTGTACCCTGATGCATTTCTGAAGTGCACAGAGTGGGTTACTGGATTTTATGTAATAATAGACTTGGTCCCTATAGAAATGTAATTATACCGTATATCAAATGGATGGGTCCTCAGTTTAAAAGCTCAGTTCTTTAATCAAAGTGTTTGACAAGTTCTACTGTTAACTGGGACTTACAGATATTAAAAAATTATGAACATGACCAATGTGACCATCATGACCCTCAGTGCAGCAGTCACAAGAGCCCTGGCCTAGGGATAGAACACTCGGCTCTGTCCTGGTTGGACCCCTGAGGAGTTCTGGGGCCCTTGGCAAGCCACGACTTCTTCTGGGTATCAATCCCCGCAGATGTAAACCGTGAAGACGAGCTGCGGCTCACGGTTCCTAGACTGTTTGTACAATGAAGCTTCCGCTGAATGCTTGCTTACCTTCTGGAAGCCTGGAATTCTGGCACATGCCAGGCAGAGGCTGCCTACATGACCAGCCCCTAATGAAAACCCTGGATGGATGGCCGTTTAGCTCACTTGGTTAGAGCGTAGTGTTGGTAATACCAAGGTCAAGGGTTCAGATCCCCATACCAGCCAGCTGCCAAAAAAACCCACAAAAACCAAAAAGCAAGCCTGGGCAAGGAGTCTCTACTGAGCTTCCATGGTGGACAACACTTCACATGTGTTGTCACAGCTCATGGCTGGAGGGATCAGGTGTGCCCTGTGTGACTCCACTGAGAAAGAAATCTTCGAAGCTGGTGTCTAGTTTCCTCCAGGCTTCACCTCAGGTACCTTTTCCCTTTGTCGACTTTGCTTTGTGTCCTTCTGCTGCTATGACAGCCTGACTACAATGGTGCACCGAGTCCTGTAAATCCAGCTGAAGTGGTCTTGGGGATCCCAACACAGGTCCCATGAGCCAGGAACCAAAAAGTTCCTCTATGGTGAGACACCCCATGCTTCCCTTACTTATTGTGCTGTCATTGAAACAAATGACAGTGCATACTGTGAATCTCAAGAACTAAGCAAAGTAACTATTTATTTTAGATGACTAACACTTATTTATGTCCAGCCACATCAGTCCTCATGTTGGCTTTCAAGTAGAATAGGAAGAGAACCTGGACAAGGAGAAGGTAAGTTTTCTCTTTTGTGAGCCCATATCATAGGGTTAGGAGGTGACTTTTCTTTTGCTTTCTCCAGAGTGGTGGCACCAAGGAGCAGACCTCTTTATGAGTACATGTCACCAAGGTTTAACATCGTCTTAACGTTATAACGAGGTATTTTAGATCTCCATGGTAGGAACGGGTGACAGTACCTGGGTTTCCTCAACTGGTCTGTTGCTCTTGTCTCTTACTATGGCTATTACAGCACATTTGTGCTGTAGCCAAAGCCAGCAGGGTGGCCAGACTCCAAAGACGGGCACAGGACAGTCCCCTCTGGGTGGGGGAGGGGATGGCAAAACGTGGGCTAGGCTGAGAAGGAAAGGGAAACAGACTCCAACATTTTGCTTTTCACCTGTGCTTAAAAGGAAGAACAATTTATACACAGCACTTACATGCAGTGCCCAAGGGGGCTGCCCTGCAAGAAGATACCTGTAACAAGCAGGTGAAGGAATTACTTCCACTCTATAACTTGTATTTGTTATTCTAATACAGAAGGAGCAAAGGTGTTGATCCTGTTCCTAAATTCAAATAGCAAAGGTCCGTTTCAAAAAGAGGAATTTTATATGACTAAATGCAAGTGTCAGTTTGTGACTTAACAGTTGCACATTAAGTCATAATGGAAGAGTAAAATATAGTATAATCTATTATCATGGAGAAGAGGGATCTAAAGATAGAGAAAAATAGAAAAGAAAGATCACTCATAGTCCTATCCAAGCTAAATACGGCATTTGTTAACATTTTGGTGTATTTCAGTGCCATTTAAAATTTATGTCTAGGGATGTGGATGCAGGGTCACCAGGAGGGGACATGAGGGAGGCTTCTGGGGTACTGTAATGTTCTATTTCTTGGTCTGGAAGTAGTTAAATGGTATGTCCACTTGTGAACTTTTCTGTGCATATGTTACACATTAATAAAAGTTAACTTAAAAAAAGATGTTAGGTGTTTTGATTTTAAATATTATAGTTGTAATCATCATTCATTATTATATCACAAGTTTTACATCTCTTACAATTTGTTTGTTTGTTTGTTGCAGCTGGCTGGTATGGGGATCCAAACCCATGACCTTGGTGTTATAAGGCTATACTCCAACCAACTAAGCTAACCAGCCAGCCCAAGGCTGATAATTTTTTATTTTATTTCTTTATTTATAAAGAAATAAAATTTATTTTTTATTTTTATATTTATTTAGTTTGGAGGCTGGGAAGTCCAAAGTCTAGAGAACACATCTGGTGGGGGCCTTCTACTTGGTAGTGACCCTACAGCCACACAGTGTCACATGGCAAGGAAAGGCAGGAGCAAGACCAATTTTTTAATATACATAATAAAATACCTAGCTGTAGCTATAGTACATACACAATTTCACATAATAAATAAAAAGTGAAAATCATAAATATTTTCTATACTTGCTGTATTTTAAGTTATAGTATTTGAGTGTATGTATCATAATTTAATTCATTTCTTTATTACAGACAACTGATAAATTTTCAACATTATCAATCATTGTGATCAATATTTTTAGGCATGCAGCCTTTACTGTATGCTGAATTATTTCCTCAGCACATAAGCAAAAATGGAATTATTAGGTTAAAGCTATGAACATTTTTATGATTGTTTTTTATAGACTGTCAAATTACTTTCCAAAATGATTGCAGCATTCTGAGCAGTGATGAGGCATGGCAGAAAGGGCCTGGCCTGAGAGTGAGGGAGGCTGGGGTTTAAACACTGCCAGACACTAGCTGTGTGACTGCAGGCAGTTTCCTGAACTTCTCTGAGCTTCAGTTTCTTCATCTGAAAACGGGGACAAAGTCACCTAATGTGTCAGGTTATTGTGAGGATTAAATAAACATATTTTAAAAGTTTGGCAACTAAAAAAAAATTAGCCACCAACTTATGAATGTACCACACCACTGCCTGCTCTGGGTATTCACGTTACAACTTTTTGAAAGTCCAATTTAGAGTACCAAAAGAAATTATTATTTATCAATTAAAAGAAAATACCAAAAGGAATTTTGTAGTTATTAAAATGTGCAATGACTTCAGTAGCCACAGTATTGATTGTACTCCCATACTCACCTTCTACCCACATTTCCTCTACTGTGAAGTTTTTGGTATTTTTTTGTCCTTTATTCAGATCTTAATTAGTTCTTTATATAATAGCCCCATAAAGATTTTTCTGTCTGCTTTGATTTTCTTTCCCTTCCTTTGAATTTGTAGTCTTTTCTTTGTGGTTCTACGTATTGTTTATTTATTTATTTATTTATTATTATTATTTTTTGTGACCGGGAAGGGGATCGCAACCCTTGGCTTGGTGTCTCCTGCACCGCGCTCAGCCAGTGAGCGCACCAGCCATCCCTATATAGGATCCGAACCCATGGCGGGAGCGCCGCTGCGCTCCCAGCACCTCACTCTCCCGAGTGCGCCACGGGGTCGGCCCTCTATGTATTATTTATAAGACTGGAAAGTTATCTTTGTTTTAGAGACTTGAAAACTATTTAATTTTATTTTCCCAGATTTCATACAGTTTAATATAAACTCCTCAATTTATTTAGAATTTATTTTTATGTTTATAGTAAAGCAAGAGTCTAACATTTATTATTTCAAATTTCTAGTCAGTTATTTCAAATTATTTCAGGGAATAAAATAACTTTTTCTTTGATTTATGAGATTTCCTTTAGTAACATGCTAAAGTCTTACATAAAATTACACCAACTCTAATATATGTCATAATAATCATTTTATTTCCCCAAAGAGATACAACTATGATCTGATATTTCAATAAGTAGATATTTTCCAGTTTCTCTTTTAAGAATGCATATATCATTCATTTTATTCAAGATAACAACTGTTTTTGGGAAGCTCAGACACAAGCAGTAGTAATATAGTCACTCTCACTTATTCAGATGTAGGCTCAATATTAAAAGCTTACCTGAAATTCTGTACTGCATCGAGGGGTGAAATCACTATGGAACTGAAATTAAAATGCAGAAAAATATTTTAAAAAGCAAAGAAGGCATTATAGAAAGCAATCTTAGGAGAGTTTAAACAACTTTCCTTTTCTCAGACATGACTACAACATTGTGGAAATCCACCTTTCTTTCACGTCTACATCCTCCCAGCGCTGGGGGCAGTCCTCTCAAGTCCCCTCCCCTTTCACAAAGTTCAGTTTATGTTTCTGTTTCCCTCCACGCATCTTCCCCACCCTGGTCAGGCTTCACAATGACAGGGGTGGGTGGGCTCAGGGATCTTACAAGGGAGCTTCAACCGCCAGCCCCACTGAGATCTGTTCTCTGAACTGTGGGCACAGGCACGGCAGTGGTCCCCCTCCACTCTGGCTCTCTAGGTCCATGTGGAAAAGCCCCACAGCCGTGACTAGATGTCACTGTGAATGGCTGATGAGGTAGGTATTCGTGATGGATCTCGAAGGTTAAAAGGCAGATTGTGGAATTCCATGCTCTTCCAGCTTTATAATGGCCATAATTCCACCTTTGAAAAGGTAAAACTATGCTTCATTTTGCTTAAAGTAACGTAACTATTCATCAAAGTTTCCTTTCAAATACTGAATGACAGCTCTACTTTAAATTTCCTTTGTGATCTTAACTTGCAGATATTTGGGTATCTTTCATATTGTTATTATTTTATTAAGTAAATTGACCGCTGCTTTGTTACTACCCTGTGCTGCACCATGACTATTACATTTGAGACTGCTGAGATTGTGATAAGCTGGATCACTTTGTGCTTCTGCATTACTAAAGCAGTAGTCCTCGGCAACAGCAATGCCACTCCTTTGGGGCATTCTGGAAACACTGGGGGTCCCCCCAGTTGTCATAATAATTTAGGGAGCCCAAATGTTATATTTCCTGCAAAGCACAATGAAGAGATGTCTCATGTAACTTTAAAATATCCTGCTTGCCTAAACCTTCTGCAATTATAAATAGATGGTTCTTCAATACACGATAATAGTGAAACATTTTTATAAGTAGTTATAGAAAAAGCCCAGTATTTAGACGTTTGTTACACAGATGAAAGCTTAATGGGTTTAGGACATAAAATATTTGAATAAACTGCTCACCGTGTGGTTCTGCTATCCAAGGTATTACATATTTTCAAATACATATTTAGTTGAAAAAAGTTAAAAAAGCCACAAAGCCAGTGGCACATATGCAACAGGCAATTGGAGACTCTTCTGAACAAACTAAGAACCACACATTATTCAATTAGAACACATGAAAGATAGGATCGTACTGGATTTCACTAATATAGGATATTTTAAATACAACACCTATCATTGTCATCCTTTATATTTTTAATTTTTAATTTTCTTTTTTTTTTTAAAGATGACCGGTAAGGGGATCTCAACCCTTGGCTTGGTGTTGTCAGCACCACGCTCAGCTAGTGAGCAAACCGGCCATCCCTATATAGGATCCGAACCCGTGGCCTTGGTGTTATCAGCACCGCACTCTACCGAGTGAGCCACAGGCCAGCCTTAATTTTTAATTTTTGTAGCACAATGGTGAGGATGGATCCTGTCCCCAGAGGTCTACCACCGACTCCTGTTTTTTGTCCACACCACCCTCTCTGTTCCTCGGCACTTATCAGGGACACGGGCATGAAGGCCAGTCTGAATCCCAGAGACTGAACACGCTCCTCGGTATGTGAAGGCTTTCACAACAGAAGATGTATGTCCAGTGCTGGTCACTCATGCCCTAATATGAACAACTGTCTTGACACAGCATTTATAAATAAGGACCATGTCACTTGTACAATCACCGTATGCCTCTGGTTCCTCCACTTTAACAATCTGTAACCTGTCTTGGTCCATGGACCCCACTTCAAGTAAGGTTACAGCCAGCTCCCTCTCCACTTTCGTGTCTATCTGCACCTCTGTTCTTGCATCTTCTTGATCATCGTGTAGTAAATGGCTTAGGGTCTTATTCATTCATCAGAAGTTCAGCATGTGCGGGCCAGCCAGTGGCTCACTCGGGAGAGTGTGGTGCTGATAACACCAAGGCCCCGGGTTCATATCCCATATAGGGATGGCCAGTTTGCTCACTGGGTGAGCGTGGTGCTGACAACACCAAGTCAAGGGTTAAAAACCCCTTTCTGGTCATTTTTTTTTAAAAAAAAAAAAAAAGAAGTTCAGCATGTGCGGGCCAGCCAGTGGCTCACTCGGGAGAGTGTGGTGCTGATAACACCAAGGCCCCGGGTTCATATCCCATATAGGGATGGCCAGTTTGCTCACTGGGTGAGCGTGGTGCTGACAACACCAAGTCAAGGGTTAAGATCCCCTTACTGGTCATCTATTTTTAAAAAAAAAAAAAAAAAAAGAAGTTCAGCATGTGACTCCTGCATTATGTCTCCCGGGGACAGTCACCCCAGGATGTCTATATTCAAATATGCAGAATGTGGTTAAATGATTTTCTTTTTCTTTCCTTTGCATACCACTCTTAGGGCCTTTTATTAACTTTCTGATATCGTGTGCGTTGGAGGTTCTTTTGGCTCGTGTGGTAAATGTCTCACTGAGGAGGGCGTCAATGCTAATGCACTGGCACAGCCCAGCCCTAAGTGACTCGGGCAGTGTGGTCCTGTGTCGAGGGTCCCAGATGCATAACACTGTTCACATACCTTTCTGGGCACAGGGAGATGTAGAGCAGCAGCAGCGGCCCGGCCCCCAAAACGGTGGCGAGTGAGGACCTCATCCAGGAGCTGAGCTGGCAGAAGTTACAGTAGTGCACAATGGCCACCAGCACGGCCGAGCCCGTGAACATGGAGAACTGCAAGAAGTGCAGGCATCAGCAGTGGCCCCCATGCCCCCCCCAACTACTTCCCCCACTTCCCCAGCCTCCCAGCCCCCCAACCTACGGGGCTCCCAGGGCTCCACCTGAGCCTGCCCATCCTAAAGCACATGCTCCCTCACTTACACTTCCGTTTCTTATAAAAATATTGCCAATTGCACCAAATTCCTTCTTTATCTGCAGTCATCCTTACTTCTGGTTAGCCAGCAGTTTCCAGGACAGATCACACATCTTTGGGTTCATTACCCAGTGCTTTAGGTTACAGTGTCATGCTGGTACTAGAGCTATTCTCTAGGGGGTGTGGAAATGGCACATATTTTGGGGGAATGGACACCTGATTTGACACCCACCCATGTTACCTTTGAGAAACTTTTCTCCAGGCACCTGCCACGTGCCCAATGACATGTAAGTTGGTGCTAAAGGACCAAATGCAACTGGCCCACCCAGTAGCTCGTGGTACAGTCAGTCGCACCAAAAATATAACCTGCTACAAGGCATTAGTTCACTCTGTAGAGCTGAACACAGAAGCTCTGTCCCTGATCAGCAGCAGCCAATGCAGGTGCAGGTCAATTACTTGTGCCAATTCTGGGGATGGGCACCTTATCCCGTGTTGTTTGGAAACGTGGGACAGGTGCTTCTTTGTAAAGCATGATGGAAATAACTGGTTTGAAACTTGGTGAAGACCAAGTGAAGATGGGAGGATTCTTGCCCCCTGAGGATCCTCCCAACATGGTTCACGACAGAGCTTGAGCCAAGTTGTCTTTTAAATGGGCAGGCTCATGGTGGGTACAGAGTGTCCACCTTGTTAAGGGCCTATATTTAAATCACTATCCCAAGTAATCATGCCTATTTAAAGAGCAAGAGGAGAGCAGGGAGTCCAGAAGAGCATGGAGACAAAGCCACGGAGACTGTACTCACATGGATATTTGTCTCAAATTCGGAGGTGACATGGGAGTAGACAGCGAGAGCAGGGAGTGACACCAGGATGGCCCCGATGCAGTGGCGTGGGAGCCAGCCGGCAATCCACTCCAGCAGGTGCTTTGTGCAGGCCATGACGTCCTCCAGGAAAAACACCATCCTGTGACAGGAAGGGCCATCAGCGGGAGCAAACGGGGGCCGGGTGGGTCAGCCTGCCAGGAAGATTGGGGGGGCACCAGCCAGCGCTGCGGCCTCTGGGGTGGGTGTGGGGGGAGGCAGAGCTCCCCAGTCCCTTACCCTTGGTGGGAGGTAAGTAAACTGGACTCACCCAGCTCAGTGGACCCCATTTTCAGGGTGCTTGTTGTATTCTGAGAAAACATGCTTGTGGAAGGCTAAGCATCCGCCTCAGCTGGTCTAACGGAGCACATCTAACGGTAATATCAACAGGCCCCAAATGAAGTCTATCATAGAGCCACCACTCTGCACTCACCATTCCCACCTGCCTCTGGGGCAGGTGGTCTTGAGGGTGGCGGTCTAGGGGTGTGCTGAGGAGGGCAGTCTGGACGGTGGGGCTGGGACAGGCCCACTGCCCTCGCCTCTGGAGAGGCCAGGAACTGCTATTGTGATCCAACAGCATGAAAGCCTCCCGCACACACACAGGCGTCCAAGCCCTGGGTCCTGACACCTGCAGGGCACTGACCACTGGCTGAGCTTGGCCTCAACGGGGAAGTCCCAACTCTCCAGCCACTTCCCACATGGACTCAGGCACAGTCTGACCCTTTAAGGTCCTGTACAGCTCTGGCTTCCTGATATTTAAAGGGTAATGGAGGCCTTGTAATATTTCTGAGAATAAACACAAATATGCTCGAAGAATATACAGGCCCTGTGAGGAGGGACAGAGGGAACCGAGTTCCCAGCCAGGAGAAGGGGGATTAGGGGTGCTTCACAACAGTCCCCGGAACCGCAGAGTTCCCAGGACCAGACCAGCTATTCTCACACTTGTGTGGGACTGCAGTGGAGGAATGAGGCCGAGTCAAGATGCGGGAAGCCTTCTAGACCAGGGGGAGACCCCAGGCCTGTCACCAAGGAAGCTGCAGAACTGGCTTCTCTGGGGCTCCCACACATTCCTCAGCACAGGTTCTTGTTGATCTGGGGCCCTAACTGTGGCCTTCAGTGGGTCCAGAGGAAACCTTTGAAGGTCCCGACCTCTTCCACGCTTTGATGATTTTGGCAAAAGGAACAAAATCAGACCAAATGCCCACTCAGGAGTACAGGGGCCGCCTCACTAACAAGGTGTGCACGGGGTGCGTGAGCACAGATGGGCCCAGCCCAGCCCATCCTCCAGCCCTCTGCAGTCCCCAAACCTGGGTTAGCCCATGTTCTTTGGAATTGGGTCTGAAGGAACAGGGAACACTGGAACAATGATTAGACGGTTAAAAAAAAAAAAGGTATAGAGACCATGCAAGCCTCTGAGAAAGGCTGTAGACCTCTGGTGGACAGAGACTTCCATGGTGGGGGGAGGGAGGGTGGATGTCGAGGGAGTGACTGTAAATGGGTATGGAGTTTCTTTTTTTTTTTTCCTTTTTTGTCTTTTTTCGTGTCCGGCAATGGATCGCAACCCTCAGTGTCGCGCCCGTACCGGACCGGGACCAGCAAAAAGGGAAGAGTGGGAAGATAGGAAATGACAACAGGAGGGAGAAAAGGAATGAAGTGTATAGGGAGCAAGTAACAGGCGCCGCTTCTGAGTGTCAGGGCAACCCTCGGTGTTGCGCCCGCACCTCGCTCAGCCAGTGAGCGGGAACCGGTCTGTATGTGGGATCCGAACCCTCGGCGGGAGCGCCGCCACGCTCCCAAGCCGCGCACTGTAGCAGTGCGCCACCAGGCCGGCCCTGGAGTTTCTTTTTGAGGTGATAGAAATGCCCTAAAATTATATTGTGGTGATGTTTGTACAACTCTGTAAATTTACTAAAAACTACTGAACTGTACACTTAATGAGTGAGTTTATTATATGTGAATTATATCACAATAAAGCTGATTTTTTAAAAAGAGTTAAAAAACCCAAACAAACTAGGGGCTTAGGGATGCCTCTTTTGGGCTCCACAGAGCAGACCCTGGCAAGGGATTGAGTGTGAGCAGTTTCTTTGGTAGTGGGTCCCTAGAAGCGCAGGGGTGGGTGGGTCTGATGTGGAGGAGAGGCTGGCAGGAAGGGCCATGCTGTGGAGAGGGTTGCTGGCTGTGGGCGATGGGAATTTGGGAGATGGGGGAGAACACACCTTAGTGTCATCTCAACCAAGGGAGGAGGGCTTGGCCAGAGAAAGGCCTCGGTGATGGGCTGGAGAGCGCCGGGACGGTGGGTGCGGAAGGGAGGGGCAGGTACTCCAGCCTGTCCAATCCAAAGGGAACTAGCATCTGGAAGCCTCAGGGCTAGATGTGAAGCTATTTTCTTCTGCACTGGGATGTTGGGTAAGAGTCACAGAAACTCAAGGTCGGGGCCCTTCTGCCAATTTCTCTTTTACTCCCAGCTCTTGGGGGCAATTGCTAGTGGAACTCTGCTAGGCCAACAGCTGTCCTGTTGAGTGACAGAGCTGGATAAGGTGGTGTGGCGCGAGCACCTGATGTCATGGTGCCCAGGAGGCAGATGACACAGGGTGATCTGTGTACACATAAGCAGAATGCCCTGTGCATCTGCACCGGGTCAGAAACACTGGGGCAGCTGTGAGCCTCATGCTGGGCTGGTCTGGAGGGCCTAGCCGCCCTGGCAACACCCACGGTCTAGTCAAAACCTTCATTCTTTTTAAAGTGGCTCATCTTCCTATCATTGAGCTGTATGAGTTCTTTACACAGTCTAGATATCAGACCCTTGTCACAGATGTGACCTGAAAATATTCCCTCCCATTCCATGGGTTCTCTTTTGCTATTTTTTTTTTTTTGGTGGCTGGCTGGTACAGGGATCCAGACTCATGACCTTGATGTTACAATACTGCGCTCTAACCAGCTGAGCTAACCACCAGCCCTCTCTCACTTTCTTGATGGTGTTCTTTGCAGCACTGAGTTTTCAATTTTGATGAAGTTGAACTTATTTATTTTTTCCTTTGGTGGAGTACACTTGGTGTCAGATCTAAGAAGCCACTGCCTAATGCTACGGTCCCTCCTGAGGCTTCATAGTTGGCTCTGACACTCAGAAGTGGCGCCTGTTAGTTGCTCCCTATACACTTCATTCCTTTTCTCCCTCCTGTTGTCATTTCCTATCTTCCCACTCTTCCCTTTTAAGTGTCTGCTTTAGGAGATCCAGAGACGTGCTGGTGGCAGTCGGGGCTGCAGAGGGCACTGGTCCTCCACAGTAAAGCAGGTCCCCACTTGTGCAAGGGCCAGCGTTGGGGAGGGAGGACGCTGTGCAGTGGGGGAGGGGGGAGGGAATGAGGGCTTATCACCAGAAGTCAGTGTGGAGGGATGGCTGGCTTAGGGCCACTCTCCCTGTGCTGCAGTCAGACTGCTCAGCCGTAAACTGTGGAGCCAGAAGAGGGAGCTAAAGGCTAAAGCTGGAGTCCCACCCCCTGCAGCTTTACCTGACGGACACCACGAGAGACAGCACCTCCAGCAGCAGGGCCGCGCCGAGGACCGCCAAGGCAGCGGGTGGGGGAGGCATGGCGGCGGCCCCATACCTCAGGAAGCAGGTGACGGAGAGGATGAGAAACACGGTTGTCGACAGAAACACATCCAGCAGGGAGCTGAAGGTGGCACTGGCGAAAGTCTTCACGGGGGAATTCTTTATGACCTGTTCGGAGAGGGAGGGGACGGGCTGAACAGAAGCGGCTGCAGGGGGCGTGACGTGTAACTGAGCTGGAAACAACGTGCACATGCACTGAGCGCTGGCCTGCCAGGACCAGGTATGGGGTGACAAGTGCTGTAGGTGGGCCATCTCCCTGCTTTTGCCCCATTTAACAGTGAGGAAACTAAGGCCCAGAGAAGTTAAGAAACTTGCTCAGTCACACAGCAACCCATTACAAACCAGTACGTTCTTGCAGACATGTTATACGTTTAGCATGAAAGATGAATTATGGGCTGGCAAAGTTAAGGACTCTGCCTCTGTGAAGGTGGTCCCATGGAGCCACGTGCTGGAAGCTTCCACTGAACAGCTGGGTCCCAGGTTCAGTGGTATGAAAGCTGGCTTCAGGACAGAAGTCACAGGCGGGGATATGGGCAGCAGCGGATGAAAGTTGGCGCCTGTAAGATGGCGCCTGTCAGATGAGTGCACATGGTGGTTCGTGAGAGAGGCTTCCCTTGGGAGCCGGTGCTGGGGGCAGATGGGCAGCAGCACCCTCGGGAGCTCGCGCCCACTGGCAGGAAGGGCAGCAGAGGACTCACGGCACATGTTAGGTATAATGAAGAGGCACGCCCACACTGCTAGGGAATTAGGAGGGAGAAAATAATGACCCTAACATGTCCAGGACTAGTTCCCGGCCCCATTGGGCCCTTTTGTGGCCAGATCATCAGTGCTCACAGCAGCCCGTGGAAAGAAGGTGCTACCAATCTTGGTGTGCAGACCAGGAGGCCAGGGTTAGGAGGCGACTGAAGATCATCTAGCCAGGTGATGAAATTTGAATGAAAACTCCTCTTGGCTCTGGGGTGGGGAGGGCATGATGCAGTTTTGACTATGAAGTACTCAGAGAGGTTGCGTTTGGACCCAGAAGAAAGAATGCAGGGATCTGGCTGCTTAGAATTCAAAGCAGCCTCCAAGTCCTTGTGTTTCTTTCTTTCAACAAACGCCTCCTGAGCCCTTGTGGGTGTGGGGACGGGATTGGCTGCTGGGGTGGGGTAAGAACAAGAGACGGGGTCCTGCCTTGTGGAGTTGAGAGTCCAGGGAGGGGGACACATGACTCAAAGACCACACAAAAACTCCAAAATGGGATTTGTGCAAAGAAGTATAACGGGAGAGCAAAATCCAGCCTGGGGGTCAGGGAAGGTCTCTCAGGATAAATGATGGTTGAGCTGAGAGTTGAGGTAGTAGAGAGGCAGAGAGAAGAAAGCAGACAGACGACACATCGTGGTGAAGTCTCACTCAAGAGACCAGGGCAGGTGTGGCGGGAGCAGCCAGGGCTGGGGACACCAGCTACAGAAGAAGGGTCTGGCAATGAGGCAGTGCTTTCAAACAAAGGACCACAGGAAGGTTTGGTTTTATCCCTTTTTTGTTTGTTTGTTTGTTTGTTTTTGGCGGCTGGTCAGTACAGGGATTCAAACCCTTGACCTTGGTGTTACAAGGCAGCACTCTAACCAACAGAACTAACCGGCCAGCCTGGTTTTTCTCCCTTGTGAAGATAGATTCCTATATAGTTACAACTTAGGATTTACAGATTGCCAGAAGTCAATATCAGCCTTCATTCTCCTGTCACTTGCTAAAGTTCAAAACTAATCATGAGTGGCTCAGTGAGAACAAATTTCTTTAGTAAAATTATAAGGAAAAACACACCTCTTCTTGATAGCTGACCCTGTAGGATCGCTCCAGCTCCTGATCCAGGAAGTTCAGGCTGAACTGATTAATGGGCGGCTTAAAAAAATAATCTTTCATCAGGCTAGAAGACACAACAAATTCAACTGATCAACATACAGCACAATCACGGTATTTATTTTATCAGAAGACTGCAATTAGCTATCAAGACACCATTCATTAAGCACATCACAAAATCTTCACCTAAAAGTCACTATGTAATAGATGTCACTCAACGGCCCCTTTTTAAAGCATATCTCTGGAAAGTCCTTTGTGTTTCTAAACATAATCACATTTAATGTTCTCACCTCCAGCAAAGAATGACCATTTACCATGATTATAACACACATCGTTAGAGCCTTGCTTTTGAAAACATGTTCCTCGCATCCAGGATAGGAAGAAGATGAAAGCACCTTTTTTATTCTGTGAAATGATCTTTTCTGAAGAACCAGCAGATCCCTGAACTGAGAGTATTTATATTGATTTGGAGGCTTCAGATGAAAACATAACTCAGAACCAGCTCTCCTGTCATTCAGAGAACTGACAGTAATTACCACATGAAAGTTGACAGGTTGTTATCACAAAATTGTGTTTATAGTTAGTGTAATTTTGGCGCTATTGTCACATATGCAGAATTGCGTGTGAAACCTGAAAAATGATAAAGCTCAATGATTTTAATAGCAGAGAAATCAAAGCTACTTTACATGACTCTCTCATTCTTTTATGAATTGCCAGCAAATAGTGATATCCTTTTTTATACTGTGGAAAATTACTATAAATTTCAGGAAATGTTAACATGATTTTAGAAGGTAAATATAGCTGTGGGGTGTAGGCTCTCTTTTGTGTACAGTAACTATTAAAATTAGGGCCGGCCCGGTGGTGTACTCGGTGGAGTGCAGCGCTTGGGAGCGTGGCATCGCTCCCGCCGAGGGTTTGGATCCCATGTGGAGACCGGTCCGCTCACTGGTTGAGCGTGGTGCGGGCGCAACACCGAGGGTTGCGATCCCGTTGCCGGTCACGAAAAAAGACAAAAAAAAAGGAAAAAAAAATTAAATTAAATCAGACAAAATACGTAAAGTGCCTAGTGTGTGCCTAACACAAGTAGGGATCACCACATGTATACGCTTTCCTTTTCTTGCAGCATAGTGGATGACTCTCTCTTTTCTGTGACAAGTGTGCAGTAACTTATTTATTCTTAGACTCAGGAGACAGAAAATTCTGTCCCCTGATATTGACCCTCCCTCCTCCCTTCCACTGAGGAAGTGTGGACAGAGGGAAAACAACAAAACAGCAGTAAGGAGGATATGCAAAAGCCATGTCTTAGCAGTCGAGGCAGACTCAACACTGCCGTGAGCTGTGCTGCTCCTTTTAAATAAACTGTGGGAGGTTCCACTTCTGGGAATGGAAGACAGTGATGTTTGGGCCAACCCTCTCACAGAAAACAACTATAACTGTGGACAAAATATAAAAGCAACTCCTGGAAGGTACTGGAGAGATACCAGAGCAGGTAGAGAATGGAGGGAAGTCACACTTGGAAGAAGAGAACAGCAACAGGTGAATTTCATGTTTTTTACCTTTTTTTTTTTTTTTTGTCCTGAAGACAGTCATTAGTCAGTCCCATGTGCAGAGTGGCTAAAACTCAGAAAAGATATTTTTTCAATGGCTTTAAAAACTAGAAAACAGACTTTGGATTGACCACAGATGGAAAATGAGGTTGTTAACTCCAGAAGGGAGAGTACCAGAGAAGAGAAGCCTGAAATTCTGCATGTATATCTCTGCTCAAATCTCTGGCTGACCCTTCAAGTGTGCATGTGTATTGCAGACTCCAATTAGCCCAGTTAAAGCTAAAAGAACAGCTGCTGCCTACCTCAGGGGACATAGAGTTTGGAGTTTGAATTCAGATATATCAACTGTCTGCTGAAACACACCAACAAAAAACTGATACACTTCACAGGAACAGAACAAAATCCAGAGTTTCTAAACACCATACATGATCTCCATTAACATAAACCAAAATTACTAGACATACAAAGAAACAGGGAAACATGATCATACTCAACAGAAAAGCAATCAAGAGACTAACCTGAGATTATTAAAAAGGTGAAATGAAAGGACAACATAAGAAATGAGAAAGAAATGTATCTATGCAGTTGCAAGATTTCTTCACTTAAAGTGAAGGGATGCAATATTAACTCTAAAAAGACCACACAAATTTAAGGATGTATATCTGTAACTACTAGAGCAACCAACCATGCAACCACTAAAAGAAAAATAATGCAGAGAGGTATGGCAAAAAAGCCAATGTATATATTAAAATGCAACTAAAAAGCAGAGATTGTTAAAGTGTATTTAAAAAGCCCACTCAAGACACATTTCAAATACAAACACAAAGATAGGTTGAAAGTAAAAAAAAAAAAAAAGCAAAATGGTATATAATGCAAATAGTAAGCATGAGAAAGCTAGAATGACTGTATCAATATCAGATAAAGCAGGCTTCAAGGCAAAGAGCATTACCAGGTATAAAGAGGGACACTTCAAAATGATAAAAAGGATCAATTCATCAGGAATATGTAACACTTATAAATGTATATGCAACCAACAGAGAACTTCAAAATACTTGAGCCATAGAATATTCCACAATTATAGCTGAAGATTTTAACACACTTCTCTCAATAATTGACAGAATAGACAAAAAAAAACTAGTAAAGAGACAGATGATCTGAACAATTCTACCAAACGTGGACCTAACTGATGTTTAAGAATCACATATACTACAAATGCAGAATATTCATTCTTTTCAAGTGCACATGTATGTTTACCAAAATGGACTGCGAGCGAGACCACAAAACAAGCCTCAATTAATGTAAAAGGACTAGAACCACGCAGAGTATGCTCTTGGACTACAACTACATAAAATTAGACATCAACAGCTAATGTATTTAAATACCATTCCTCACTACAAGGAGCCAAGGCTCTTTGGAGAAGCGGCTGATTCCTCAGCTGGGCAAGGAAGATATCAATGAGCCTGGAACATCTTGTTATGCTAGAAAAGAAGAAATTGCCCAGAACAAATGAGGGGGCCGTGTCAGAAGGCCACAGAAACAGCCTAAAGGGGCTCCCATTGGCAAGATTTGGGACAATTAGAGCATCCAATTATAGTGAGGACAGTCAGTGGTGGATTATAGCCCATGATACAAAGCAGGGAAGCACAAGTTCAGGTTGATAACAGGTGGATAAATGGATGCAATAATATCCATTGTATTGGGAGGGCTCTTTACAGTGGAATGCTGAGCACCACCGATAAATGTGCAGGGAGCACTGGAGTTGGAAAATCGCCATGTTGAATAATCACAGTAAAGATTTTGGGCAAGAATCATCAATGGATAGTACATCTAGGGAGGTCTGATGAGGACTAGGATATTTACAAGACTTAAAGTATCTTCCCATAGGTGGCTTACTATCATAAGGAGAAAATAATAACTAAAGACTGGAGAAGCCAGCAATACCTTGCCTGGTTAATCAAATAAATATCACTAGTGAGGAACAAATGGGAATCATGTGCCTCTGGATATGAAACCCTGGGAAGGACATGGCTTCACTTCTGTAGTATCTGGCCAGAGATACAGAACCCGAATCTAATCATGAGAAAATATCCCACAAATCCAACTTCAGGAATATTTTATAAAAGGGCTGGGTTTGCATTTTTCAAAAATGTTAATATCATGAAAAACAAAGCATGGTTGAGGAACTGTCTCAGATTTCAAAATACTTTTTAAAAAGTCATGACAACTAAATGATGCAATATGTGATCCCAGACTGGATCCTGGACTGGAGGGGAAAAGTGCTATCAAGAACATATTGGATTAATTGGCAAAAATGGAATGTGGACTGTAGGTTGGATAAAATATTGCATCAGTGTTAAACTTCCTGTATTTGATAACTATGGTTATATAAAAAAGACAACATCCTTGTATTTAAGAAAAACAGTATGGGGCCGGCCCGTGGCTCACTCGGGAGAGTGTGGTGCTGATAACACCAAGGCCACGGGTTCGGATCCCATATAGGGATGGCCGGTTGCTCACTTGGTGACAACACCAAGTCAAGGGTTAAGATCCCCTTACCAGTCATCTTTAAAAAAAAGAAAAAGAAAAGAAAAACAGTATGAAGGTGTAAAGAGCATGATGTGTCCAACCCAGTGTCAAATGGTTTAGAAAAGATAAAAAATAAATAAATTTCATAGAGAGAAAGGGGGAGAGAGAAAGAGAGAATGATAAAACAAACATAACAGAATGTCACAAGTTGCTAAATCAGGCAAAGGCTATGAAGGAAATTCTATGTACTATTTGTGCAACGTTTCTGTAAGTTTCGAGTTATTTCAAAATAAAACAAAGTGATATGCTGACATTGGAGGACAAACATATGGGTGATAAGGCAATCCAGAAAAAGGGGGATTCTTCCCCTGCAAACCTTTGCTTTCCATGCGCTGGCTCTGATCTTACCTGTCTTCTTTGATGACGTCCACAAAGTGAGCATCTGTTTTCTCCCGGATGTTTTTGAATCTCAGCGGCAGGAGGGCCGACTGGTCCAAGCTCACCCCGGCCCACCTTCCCTTTTCCTGTAAGATCTCACACAGAGAGGTCTGACTGTTGGTGAGCTTCTCCTCTTTGGGAGGGCTCAGAAGTCCATTTTGAGTTTTGGAATTAGGTCCTCCAGAAGCCTGCCTCGAGACAAAGAGGATGCAAACACAGAAAGTGACGTGGCGGCAGGAGACACATGCTGGTCCCACCTGGACCCTTCTGCCATGCCAGAGCCCCACTGTACTGTGTTCTGGGCATCTGGCCTGTAAATCTACCCTAATCTGAGCACTCAACCTCTCTACCAACCTGCTGCCCCCTGTTATCCTATTTCCCCAAATGGCATCTCCAGGAGTCAGGCAACCAGGAAAATGAGATCACAGGTAGGGCCAGTGAGGAGGTGGAGAGAAAGTCAAGTGAAGAGTCGAGGTTGTAGGAGTTTGCTAACTACAGATCTAGGGTTCAGGGGAGGTCTGGGGGACTCAGGGAAGCTGGAAGGATGGGTCCAGGGAAAGGACACACAGCTGGCTGGGCTGTGGCCTAGGAAAAGACGGATGACTCCAGGGGCTTCGTGTTGTTGCTAACTGTGGCTGTAAGACACGGACTGACCCATGGCAGATGATGGAGGGTGGTAGGTGACAGATGTGGGGTTCCCTGGGGAAGAAAGCCTTCCCTAGCCTTCCTGCTGGCTCTGGGGTTTGCCTTCATCTGCTTCCCGCCCCCGTTCTAGCCTGGTCTCAAAGCCCATGGTGGCCTCCCTCCTGCCAAGCTCCTCTCCGTGGTGCGCCTGGAGGACCCTTCCTCCCTTTGCATGTCTATATTCTGCCACATCAAATCCAGCTTCCTGCCCCACAAACGCTCCCCTAACCACTGCAGTCCACATGCTTTAAATCTCTTTTTGTCCATCAAGAGGGTCCACCCAGCTTAGCTCATGACTGGTCTCCCTCGTACGGGTTACTTATGACTCTCCATCCCATTCTTTATGGATCTCTTCAAAACCCAGGGGACTAGAGGTATGGGACGGCATTACCTAAAAGCAGTTATTCTCAAAACTAGGAAGTTGACAAGACAGGAATGTCACCTTAGGTGGATGCGCCAGGAGAGGAACTGACGGGAACAACAGCCATGAGCTTGTTACCTTGGTGCTACTTCTATGCTCATCTTGACAGCCGTTTTGGACAGCTCCTCCCTCTGCACCATCTTCAGATTTGGGAGCAAATGTGATTCCACATGAAAAGCAGGTCTGCAAGAAAAACGCAGAGCATGGGAACACACCCAGAAAGCACGACCACAACGTGTAATTCAAACAAGCCCACTGTCGTTGTGAGTTGCTGCTGTGTAGATGGTTGTAAGCAGATAGAAGGTGTATAGAACCCCTCAAGGATAAGCCAAAAACAAACTGGCAAAGTGAAAACGGAGACGCACAAAAGCCTGTACATGAAAGTGCATAGCAGCATGATCCACAACAGCCCCAAAGTGCAGTGGATCAGCAGATTGTGGTCTATCCACACCATGGGGTACTGTGCAGCCACATAAAAGAATGAAACACTGATACATACTACAACAGAGAGGAACCTTGAAAACGTTACACTAAGTAAGAGAAGTTAGACTGCATGGATCCCTCCACATGAACTGTCCAGAAACGGAGAATTGTAGAGACAGAAAGCAGATTAATGGTTGCTGGGAGTGAATTGGGGGAATGCACAGAGACTGCTGAGGGAAATGGGGTTAGCTATGGTCTGAATGCTGGTATTCCCTAAAATTCATGTGTTGAAATCCTAAGCCCTCAAATGATAGGATTAGGAGGTGAGACCTTTGGGAGGTGATTATGTCATGAGGACGGAGCCCTCATGAATATGATTAGTGCCTTTATGAAAGGGACCCCAGAGAGATTCCTGTCCCTTCCACCCTCTGAGAAGGGACCACCTATGAGCCAGGATTCAGGACCTCACTGGACACCGAACCTGCCAGTACCTTGATCTTGGACTTCTTAGCCTCCAGAAGCATGAGCAACTAATTTCTGTTACTTATGAGCCACCTGGTCTATGGTTTACGTAGCCAAAATGGACTAACACAGGGTTTCTTTTGGGGGTGACGAAAATGTTCTAACACTGACTTTGGTGATGGTCGCACAACTTTGCAAATATACTAGAAATCACAGAATTATATGGTTTGACAGCATACATGTTATGGTATGTGAATTACATTTCAATGAAACTGTTACTAAGTAAATAAACTAGCCACCACCTATCCTAGAACACTATGCCAAGGTCCTTGAGCTTGCTGAGATGGTAGCTATTTGCACAAAACCGGCTGAATAATCAGAGGTACATGTTCACAGGCCTAGGAAATCTTAAAAGTTTGTAGGAGTTAGCTGACCTAGAAAAGAGAAGACAGGACTCAGTACTGACAGGGACAGAAGACCTAATCTTTCAATTCTCACAAACTGGGGCTCAACCCCAGCTCAATTACTTTCTTCAGATTCCTTTACCTCATTTCCTTCATCTTGTAAAACGAGAGTGATGGCACTTTTCTTGAAGACACGTTTTAAGGACTAAATGAAATAAGTATGTTTATAGTCTAGCACAGTTCCTGGCACACAGTATACATATCCTTAATAACTTTTTTTTATAATGTTCTCAAGTCTCATGCATGCAACAAAACATACGTTTATTTATTTATTTAGGCAGCTGGCCAGTATAGGGATCTGAACCCTACACATTGGTGTTACCAGCACCACGCTCTAACCCTTAATAAATTTCTTATTATTATTATTAATGTCATTGGTAACCTAGAAACTCTCACTGAGATAGCAACTAACAGTTTTCAAGAAGATAAACTGCAGCAGGAGAGACTTTTTTAGGACTCAGAAACCGTTTTCTTGTGGTAAGGATTATTAAACATTGGAATAAATTATAGGAGGCTAGATATTATTCTGGAAATTTAAAATAAGTTTCATTTACTGCCTAAGGGTAAGGATATGACTCAGATCACATCCCAAGTTAGATCGTAGGCCTGTGACGTAGTAACTAAAAGAAATAAAGATTCTAAAGGGTTGTGTAGTTTGTGAATCTGAACTTAGCACAAGCTAGGTTTGTATTCATACATTGGTATTCGTTCAAAAAATGAAAATATACGAGGGCACTTCAAAAAGTTCATGGAAAGATAGAATTAAAAGATAACATGAATCTTTCCATGAGCTTTTTGAAGACCCCTCGTACATGCCAAAATATCTAGTGGAGTGATTAACTTACATATCTGAGCAAACAGTAGCACCTAGGTAAAATCTGCTTATAGCTCTTTAAAAACTGACATTATTAACAGGAGTAAAATGTTCTAGTTGTCAATAACATACAATAAAATTATTTTAAAGCACCTCTTGCTGCTGAGTTAAATTTCAAAACATTTTGCCAGTGGGGCCACTAATCTTCTCAAATGAAAAAACATCCAATACCAAGCACACAGAATGACCCTCCAAGCCCCCAGTGGAGGAGGAAAGTAAATATGCCAGCGGACGCGCCCCACAGACTCCTGAGGGAGCTTTCTAGCAGGGCTGGGAGCCACTGGCTTTGATGTTGGCAGCAGTGGGGGGATGGCTCCTCTAGGGGGCACACTGGCCATTTCGGGGACCAACTGGTAGAGTATGTGGGGACAGGCTGACATGGTTTGAGAGACTCTAATCCCAGTCAAATGCTTAAGATCCAGGGACTTTTACAATCTTGTAAAGACAGAGTGAAATAGTAAACAGTTATTTCTTTGGCAGCTTTTAAATGTGCACACTGCACTGGTTTTGGAAATCAACTGTCAGGGACCAAATCCTGGTTCTCTACCACTTCACAGGTATGGGATCTCTCTGGGCCTCAGTTTCCTCCTTTATAAAATTGGGTTATGTCTACCTTAGAGAATTATTATAAGCGCAAAATGAGAAAATACATGTAAAGGATGTCAGAGGTATTTTAAATTGGCTCTACTTGGGGCACCACCTCTAATCATGTATTCCAACTTCCCAGAATGCTGAAATGGGAAGGACTATGAGCCTCATCCTGGTCCCGTGTGGAGGAGAACTGACTGACTGGTGATGTCTACCAAGGGTGAAGGGCGGGACGGGTGGAAGTGCTGGCTCAGCACAAAGCCTGAAGTGTTGGTGAGCGCTCAGGAAGTGTTGGCACTTAGTATTAAAACTTCTGTTAGGTATTCTCTCTGGTTATTACATAGTTCATCTGGTGATCTAATGTCCCTGATCACAGACAGGACAGTCGTCCTTGGAAGCTACTCTTCTGTAGCCATGTGCTCTAAAGGTATCTCTGGGCATCGGTTTGTAAGCATTTTTCTCTCCTCAAGTCCACCTGACATATTTCAAGAGGAGGCCATCTGCTCCTTAGGTAATGCCCATGGCACACTGTCTTTAACGCAGATTCTGTGCATTTATAGCCCCAAATATGCAAAACTGACAATCAGACCTACTGGGCCCAGAAGACACACTGAAGACAGTTGGGGGGCCCTGCATGCTCCACACAGGCTGCCTTAGGTAAGAGTCGAGGCCACCCAACCTCAGATACTGCACCTTCTCTCTGGAGGTCTCGGCTGCAAAGGAGCTGGAAGGTCAGTGGAGACTGGGAGTGGTCTGGGGAGGCTGGGGAAGTGGTACTCACAGGTGGGCAATCCCTGTGACAAACAGAGACTACGTGGCTTGGAACCTGTTGTGATAAAATGTCGTAATGGAGGGGTGGGGTCTTATAGAGTTGCCCATGAAAGAAACTCAGGAGTTGAGGCACAGGCTTTTGCTTTTAGAGCTGAAATGCTCCTTGATGATCTAAGGGGCTGTGCTCGGGCAGGTTAGGGGCTTGTCTGGGTCACATGGCAAGCTGGGGAGGCCATGGTCAGGACCCTAATGGCCTGAACCATGTTCCCTGTCCACTCTGCACTCCCACAGCAACTTTGTCCAGGGAGTGGGGACATGGGAGGCACATGGGTATAGCAGGAGAAGCAGCTACGGACCTCAGGCCCTCCTGGGCAGGGCTGCCCTGGGCAGGAACCTGCATCACCCAGGTCAGGCAGCCTCACTGGGCTTGAAAATGGGCCTCTTTTTCATTCTATTTGTTCCTCAGCTTACTTTCCTTTTGGGGAGGAAATTTGCTTGGCTAAAACTTTAAAACAAACGAAAAAAAAAAAAATCTTAGAGAAGTCCATCAACCCTGACAGAGACATTCTTATATTCCCTTCTGACCTGTAGTTAGAGGCCCCTTCTGTACCAGAAGGGACCCACCATGCAACAGGCGGTGTTTGTTTCCCTCTCCCCACCCCCCACAGCAATTTTCCTTTAAGTATTTGTCAGCTTAATTTCATTTTATTCTTTTGGCAGCTGGCCAGTACAAAGATCTGAACCCTTGATCTTGGTGTTATAACACTGTGCTCTAATCAGCTGAGATAACTAGCTAGCCCTGCCAGCTTAATTTTAATCTGTATTAAATATTTTACAACCTGGTTTTTGCCAAGCACTGATAACCCTGTGAGATGTTTCCTAACCCACTAGACACCTGTGTCCCCCTGCACTGCTGCAGGCATCTCCACCCTTGCTGAGAAGCCCTCTGTGGGAAGAGCATTTCAGACATCTGGAACCATGGATGTGTGTGTGTGGGGGGGTCCCTTACCACCTGGGGAGGCATGCCTAAGCAGCAGGCTCACAGGGGAGCTACACTGGCAGGCACGTTAGATAAAAATCATCGTCCTAAAGACAGCAGCTGCTATGATTTAGAACTGCCTCCATGCTAAGGACCTGCCAGTGAACAATAGTCAGGTCCTGGTCCACGCAGCTTGCAGTCTCATGTTTTGATCTCAGTTAATCCTCATAATAGCATGCGAGGCAGAAGCGACCACTCTGCAGACACAAAGGCTCGCAATGGGGGTTGTCAGCCTCTAAGGCTCCTGGCCACAGAACACCATGTGACACCGAGCTGGCCTTGCCTGCCACAGAAGGACCCAGGAATAACCTGGCACTCTGATTTCCTGGGCCTCGTTTTCCTGAAGTGACCTACAAGGCTGTGACTCCTTCCAATGGCACTGTTGGCACACCAGCACCAAGGGAAGCTTCAAGACCACTTTCACGGTCCTCCCAACAGCATTCTCCACGAGCCAAGGAGTTCACTGGCTGTTGCCTCAGTAACCTGAGATCCTGTGGAGACGTCCTAAGAGCAGTCTGCATTTCCCCAGATTATGTCTGCTCCTCCCCCCTGTGGGCTTTGG